CGAGGGAAGCTGCGGGCAATTTTTTTCATTCATTCTCCACCTACCTGCGGCTGCACAGAAAAACCTGCTGTTCCTTTCCCACCACAACACCCAGGTTTTTAGGGCGGTTCTTCATATCCTTCAGGACACTGGACAGATGTATGTAGAAGTGGCGTCCTCGGCCAAAGACACCACAATTATTTTCTTATCCCATCTTCAATTCTCTCTCCTCATTCCTCTGCAGACGCCAAGATGTGCTTCCACTTAGGGCTGCAAAAATAGTCCTTTGAACTCCTCATGCTCCTCCTCCGATCATTTGCAGCATGTCAGCTCTGTGACGTATGGTAGCCAGCGAGTACCATTTTACTGCAGTTAGCCGTTGTTTTGCAGAAGTTGCTAGAACTAGAGGACTTTGTTGAACCTCGTAGTGTTTGGAACACGACCTACTGTACTCCTGACCTGCCCAGCTGGCGGCGGTATGTGGAGGTGCCTGCGCCGGCTCGGATTCCGAACTTCGCCACCTGGGGGGCTCTCCAGTTACCCCAGCTGAGCGCCGGTGAATGCATGAGAATGCATAGGTTGCCGCCGGTTAGAGAAGAGTTTCATCACGCATTGAGTAAATGTGACGGCTATCTTGAATCATTTTATTTCATGTGACTTTGAGAATCTTCTTTTGCATTTTAGTTGACATTTCAGTGCATTATTTTTCAAATACATGTATCAGCGTGCAAAACAAGAAAGAATGACGATGTAGACAGGTTGTAAAAAGCGCTGGCCACCAAATGTTTATATAACTCATGATACCAGCTATATGTGTATACAATGGTAGGCTTGTTGCCATTGGATTACACTCAGCTTGCTTGCATTTACTGTCTGGGCAAGAAAGGGCAAGGACTATGACACTTGACAGTGTCCGCGGCATTCGGCGCGCATAGAAAACAACCAAATACAGATAATTTTGCGCATAAATACCTTCGTCTCAAATGGCAAATGTAGATCGCAGGTACATGAATAATCTATTAAAGATACTCTGCAATTGTTTTGAAACGAAACATCACCTTAAATAACTTATTCAATGCTAATTCTTCACACAATGGGTGTGTTTCAAAACCTAGTTGCATAACCACATGTAGTGACATGGTTTCCATATGTGCACTCATGTCATCTTTCTTTTTTTTGTTTGTTAATAAACAGTTGTGAGTATAGCGGGTCGTCGTTTACTTTCTTGAGGTTGTCGGTTTATTATTTTTTGCGCTAATAGCGTTTCAGTCTGTCATGCACCATCAACTAGCCCAGCAACGTAGTCCTTTAGAACACAGAAATCACCTTGATCCATTTTTCATGGACTTCGGTCACTGGAAACTCATGAAAAGTCACATCAGGAGTCTTCCCTTGCCTTGATTCGCAGAAAGGCACGCAGCAAACCACCATTCTGATGGTTAATTTGCACCAAGAAACCTTGCTTCGCTGGTGTACAAACTGCGCCGACCTGCACGCTTCTGTCACAGCTCGTGCCGAGCTGCGACAGGTAGCGAAAGGTCGTCATTATACTTTTAAGTTTATTCAAAAAAAGGTTTTTATTCATTTTAATTGTCCAGAGTGTATGCACGCGTAAACATTGCTGCTTTTCTCCCAGCGCCACGCGAGCAGACGAAAAAAAAAAAAGCGCGGCGACCCATGTTTTGGCCGCCAGCAACCGGTGCGGATGAGGTAAGTTGCAGCGCCACAGGGCGCATAGCGGCAGGCACCAATACCAGAAAGGGCGTGCTGGCGCTTCGCTCGCTGGGCAGGTCAGTAAAATACAGAAGGTCGTGGTTTGGAAATATCAATGTTGCCTTTATTACATGAATAACGGTTTCAAACCGTGCTCAAAAACAAAATTTAGGCTTAAATAACATTCATTTAGGCACTGATGGGGATAATACGCATTCATAGACACTATAGAAACACTATAAAAGCTCTTCTTAATCTCTAATTCATGCTCATATATCAAAATGGCACGATAGGAACGCAAGGAACAAAATAGGCATTTGCCTATAATCCAGTCTCTAGACATAACCATAATATCTTACCAAATTTTGTGGTCTCTAGATGAAATTTCGCTACAACAAAATTCCGCGACAACAAATTTTTTCACCTGTCCCGTCAATTTCGTTGTAGCGAGATTTGAATGTATCTTTTCACTGTTTTTATGTCACCGCTTCTGTTTAGGATCTCACTTTTGTTTATTTTGTGGGCTTGCTGCTTCTGTATAAATGATTATTCAAACTGAGAGAACATTAAACTAAATAAAGGTAAATTTTTCCCTATGTGGTATCATGAAAAATACAGGCATGCTCCAAACACAGAGGTAGCTGCTCCAAAAGCAAATTTTGTCTGCTTCAATGGCTGCTCCAAAATGCTGAAAGGCATTCCCATCACTGCACGGGCCTTGTGTAGGCAGTCACATTTTATAAACTTTTTGGAAAATAAGTTGATGTAATGGGCAATGCAATGTCACTTTCAAACTGGTACATTGCAACAAGGAGTGTGACAGCCAAGCCAGTAAAATTTGCATGTAAGGGGTTGTTTGTTTGGCCTCCCAAGGGATCATAGCGTGCAGGGGGGAGAGCTTATGCTGTCATAAGCCCTTCGCTAATACTTCTTGCCACTGCTCCTTTGCTTAGAGCAGTGATTTTGTTAATGGGTGTGCGGAGATCCATTTTAATAAAAGCCACATACCTTCACTCTGCGCTGCTGTATTGTGACCCCCCCCTTTTTTTTTCGTCCGATGTCAAGGGGTCCCTCATCTCTTCCACCGGTCCGTGAGGGTCCTAGAAAATTAACGGCTAAAAACACTGACTTAGAGAACGCCTTTGGCATGTTGTAGGTTGAGGGACAAGGAATCTCTATAGAGGCAAGCCTCGCATAGCCACTCTGTCAAGAATCTTGCAGATCCTTCTCTCATGACCAGCAGATAGTGTGCAGCTTGATGAAATGGGGTATTTGACAGAAAAAGTTTTTTTCAAACTAACTGTTGAGTAGTTTCTGAAATGTTTATCTTATTCTAATACACAGAACTTTGTTGGGACCAGCCATAGAGTTCTAATTACCGTATTTACTCGCGTAATGAACGCACTCGCATAATAAACACACCCCCAACTTCTGTCATAAAAATTTGATTTTATTTTTCCCGCATATAAACCCACCCCTTACATTCATCTGCTGCAGTCCCGCTAGCCCACACCTGGCACCTCCTCACTCGTTAGATCTCTTCTGTTTTTTATTTCTTTGCCGACCCCCCTCAACATCCTTGGCTCCCTCTCTCCCTCCCCTTTGCCCATTGCCACATGCCTATTGCTCTTCTTTCTATATGTACACAGCATGTCCCCCCCCCCCCCCCTCCTCGTTCTATCTGTGATCTACAGCAGGGTTCAGGAGCACAGGGAGTGTAGAGATATCACAGCTGATAAGCACACAGTGAGGGAAGGTCACCAAACTGTGCCCACCCATGTGGGTGGCTCCCTCCTGCCACCCACATGGCAGGGAGCCCCCCCCCCCCCCCCCTCTTTTTTAGCCTGATATCTTTTTTCTTCACACCATAACTGTCCCTTCATTCCCCCCCCCCCCCCCCCCTGTTGAGGTGTCACTCCACACCCCTTGTTCTTACCTTTTAACCTTTTTCTCAAGAATCTCTCCCCCCCCCCCCCCCGAACAAAACAAAATGAAACAAAGCCTAATCACGTGCACGCAATTTTCGAGCAACCACGGCAGGATTTGCTGTAGCGAAGGGTCATTCATCGCTAAAATCGCTTGTTGTCTATAGAAGATGGTGACGATTTCCGCAACATGGTAGCACCCCTGATTCTCGCTTTGCTTGTTATCTACACGTAGAGGCACTTCTCATGTAGTGGGGAGGCGGCGGCCGTATTTTATCGTTAATCTTGTTATCGACGGTTCCTTTGATGCTACACAGGTAGCTTGCTACAATGTTGGTTACTTGCTACTACAACCTCGTGCTTGCTACAATGTTAATAGCGTCGTCACGGTTGTCATGCGAGGTTGCCGCGAAGTTGGCAAAGTGCTTCGCAGCGTCGTAGCGCACGCATTTGGCTGCCCCTCGAGATCACAACAGATACCACTGTTCCGGTTAAACGATTGCGAGAAAAAATAGCCACAAAACGTTGTGGCGTGCGCGGGCAGCCCGGGGATAGCTTGCAAAAGATAGTGCCATCAACCACCGAAGATGAGTAAAGTGCAACAAAGAAGGCGTGCGCGGGCAGCCCGGGGACAGCTTGCAAAAGATAGCGCCATCAACCACCGAAGATGAGTAAAGTGCAACAAAGAAGCTGTTTACAAACAGTGTACGCATGTGTAAATTGCAAAGGCTAAGCAACCTAACTTTTTTTTTGCATTACTGCATTCTTGGTGCTCCTGAAAAAAATTTCATAAAGTTTACCCCGTGTAATAAATGCACCCTTCAACTTGGCTCCGATTTTTTTTAAAAAAGAAATGCGTTCATTACGCGAGTAAATTCAGTATCTGTCGATTTAAGATTTTCCTGTATACTTCAAACTTAGATGCTTGTATTTGGAACAGGTTTTGAGGATACTACTGATATTGTGTATAATCTAGAAATTTTCTCTCGGTGTCTTAAAATATCTTCCTTGTGTTAAGTTCCAGTCAAACCCTTTTTTAAGAGACACAGTTGTAAGGGTAAAAGAGAGACCAGTGTGCCAACATTAAAATAGGTGTTGATAAGAAAATGCAGACATTGTACCCTGCTCATAAGAGACACCTCATAAAACAGGAGAATTGCTGCCCAGTGCATGGCTCTTATAGAGGGGTTCAACTGTATTTGTAAACGGGGCCACTTTCTCTTATAAGCAGCAGCTGTTTCTTGAGGAAAAGTTGTTGGTATGACTGATGCATGGCGACGGTGAGACTCTTGGGATGGCATGCTGTCAGTGTCGGAGATGGTGCATGTCAGACAAATGTGATGATTGTCAGTAATGTTCTGAATATGTTTTTTTTTTTTTCAGTTTTAAGTGTGTGTTGGTTGGCCCCTACTGTTTTTGCTGTTGTTTATGCCCCGGCAAACCAAGTAGCAGATTCCCACGCAAACCTTGTGATTGTGACCTTTACGGTAAGTGCCATTTTCAATAAACATTTGTGTATTATACCTGTAACAACTTTTTTCACATTATTTGTGAATACAATCACAGAAATAACTCGTTCTACATGGATGGCGCTTGGCATGTCATACATAATTTGTGGGTTCCGATTGCACTGGTGGCAGCCCACTTGTTGCTGTATTTTCCTCTCTTTTTGTTGCTGCATTATTATTTAGGAAAAGGCTAATGTCCAGCAGTCATGATTTTTCATGAGTTGTCGAGCTTTACTTTGGTGTTGGGAATCATCAAATTCTGGTACAGTTAAACGTAGATATAATGAAACTGACTAATTCCTGGAAAAATTCGTTGTAAAGAGGATCTTGTTATGTGCAGGTTTGGTATGAAAATTCAAAAAATAAATGCACGAATAAACAAAAGGAAAACCGAAGGCAGAGCTAATCCAAGACACTTATTTAAAGTTAAAAACTGCGTTATTTTTGCGATAGCAATTATATAGACACTCTCGGTGGGTTTTTGCCGTCGCCACTATATTCCCTCACAAGTCCCAATTCAGAACATGTTCTCACGCATTGTAACTTTTATGAGGAGGGTAAAAGCGTGAGCGCTGCTGAATCGGAGATCAAGTGAGCCAACCTCTTTTTATCCTCTGGAAGGCGCATATGATAACATTAACCCCGCGTGTTAGAATTGCAGTGGAATGTTCAAGCAGAAAAGAAAATACGCGTCTTGAATGAGCACAAAAAATGTGGGGGGGGGGGGGGGAGGAAGAGAGGGGGTGTGTGAGTAGCAACAATGAACTTTGATCAAGGGTGCGATCGCTGGCGTGCATGCTATTTCGGCAAACATTAGTGCGCTTTCAACACGAAGATCAATGAAAAGAGAACTTCTTTCTGGAGCGGCCGTATTCGCTTACACCAGCATTTTGTAAAAGTTACGCGATATTGGATTAAAAAATGGTGCTGTCAGCCCTAGTTCGAATAAAATTATAATTTGTTGCTGTCGCATTTATTGCATTGCATTGAACGCGCCGTCGTGTTGCCATGGCTAATCGGCTTATCGCGAAGGCTCTTGCGGCATGGCACAAGACACAGGGCATGAAAAGTCGACCTCCAGTGATCCGTCATTGTCATTGTGGTCTTGGAGAGTTTCCGTGAGCACCTAATCTGGCATCTCCTTGGTAGTAATGACACAATTGTCCGGAAAAAAAAAAACAACAGCAAAAATTGGCCCCATATCTACATGTTTTCCTGCAAATGTCGTCGAAAGACAATAGTCTTGCGTCTGCAGAGAGTGAACATAAGTTCATTTGATGTTCTGCACGAGAAAGTCGGTGAATTGTATTCTGGAGGTTCTGCGTTAAAGTGTCTTGATCCTTGTAGAAAAGGCGAACGAGCGCATCGAGGCACAATAGGCACGAGCGCTATCTTGCAGTTATCTTCGAAAACGTAGGAAGGCGTGCGCGCCTGTCTCAGAGGCGATAAAGTGTAGAATGCAAAACAACGGGCAGGTGCCACCACCGTGTCGGCTTAGCAAAGTGTTGGAAACACTTGCGTTTTTTAGGGTAGCGTTGCATTGTCAGCGCAGCGTAATAAACGCTACGATTCTTAGAATTACTTATGCATGCCTTCTCTAGTATAAATACACACATACAGAATATTGACGTGTTGTTATGGTGCCTCAGATATGCGCAATAATTGCTTTTTAATTAACAATCGCACAGGTATGAATGCTGAAACATGAGCAATATTGGTGGGTGCTGCGGAAGGGGTTGGCCATTTGGGGTATTGTTATGGCAGACAAACAGTCAAATGTACAGACAGACAGAAAGACTGACGACCAAAATTTTTGCGCCGAAGTACTCCAAGAAAGATTATCTATCATCTTTAAAAACAAAGCTCAACGTTGTCAAGGGCCACACCATGCGCGCACAGTAAAATCACGCACGTGCACACGGCATCAAAAAAAGAAGAGCGCACGACACAGATAATGCGGCAAATTTTTAGGTAAACCACCCTCCGTATGCAGCCTGGTCCCACTTATGTGACGCTAAGAGCGTGGCAGTGACACTGACAACGTAAATGTAGTTTGCTTGTTTTTGGTTAGGAGGAAGGGCACATGCGCCCGTGGGAGCAAGAACAGTGGCAATGCCGTCTCGTGCGGCGGAGGGCTGCCTGCCCGCCTTGCGCACACTGGCACACAAAAACGAGCGCTCGTTTTCACCTTGGAGCTGCCGCCGCTTCGCGCTTTGTCAGCTACGGGGCAACCGCTTAAGATACGCTTACGTGCAAAAATGACAAAATCTGGGGCAAAATTTTTAGATTGTCCGTGGCGAAAGGTCGTTATATCAAGGATGTTTTCGGCTGTTACTTGGTTACATAGAGATTGCAAATACATGTGCTTCTATGATGTAACAGCGGGAAATTGAAAAACTTTGTTATATTGTGGAATTCATTATATGGAGGTTTGTTATAAGCAGGTTTAACGGTATTCATTTTTATTTGTGTGACATTATGCAGTACAGTACAAAGCACTTTTCTTGTGGATTTTCCAAAAAAGTTTTCGAAAAGTTCTGCCACCATACTTTGATGCTAGTGCGTTGTGAGAAGATGCATCGAGCTTCGTCATCTGCGTTGGCTCTCCATGCAGGTGCACACTGTTCATTGTTGTTTTTCATACAGTGCAGCTTTGTGAGTGCAATAAAATGATCAGCATAGGTCAACTGTGTAGTGGAGGCTCCAAGCTGTGTGCCACGTACTACCTAATTATGACACGTTATTTTTCATTTTTGAAGCGGCGTATAAGTTGTCTCTTTAGTTGATCCACTGTTTTGCTGCGACAGCAGTTGCAGGTACATTTGAAAGATGCTCTAGCAACGTAGGTGTCAGCGTCAGTGGCTCTGTAGATAGTCCGTATAAGGTCTTAGTGCGATGCTTACTTAACCTACTCTTGTTCATGAGGAAGCAAAAGTTAAATGCGGCGTCCTCAACATTGCCTATATCATTTAAAGAGTTTGCATGCCCTAACTTGCAAGTAGTCGGGGATGGTTCCAAAAGTTGACCGAGCCAGGGGGTTGTGATTGTTTTTGACAGCATCTTTGGATCGCTGTGTACCTAATGTTGCTGCTTCCTTATTTTGAATAAATAAGAAACAACTCCAGGCATTTTTTCACTTCTGTTTGAGCTGTTCGTCACACCAGCACTGTGATGAATTCCTGTGGTCGGGATCATTGAAGGAGAGGTGCATGCAAACCCCATGCTTATTTAATTAGTATGCATGTTTACTGCAACTTAGCGGGCTGTTAAACTGTCAACTTATTTATAGGTATTATATGCATTGTTATCTCTGTTAGTGCTTCAGCTTTTAGACAAATCTGCGATTTTTTTTTTGCTGTTTTATGACAGTGCAGACAAACCAAGCTGAAGTAAAATACTAATTGGAATAAAGTTAAACCTGGATATAACGAAATTGATAAATTTCTAGAAAAATTTTTTACAAAGAGGATTTCGTTATATGTAGGTTGAGTGTGTAAATTGGAAAATAAATGCACAAATTAAACAAAAGAGGGACTGAAGGCAGAGATAACCCAAGACACTTATGTTATAGTAAAAAACTGCGTTATTATTGCGATAGCAATTATATGGACACTCTCGGTGGGTTTTTGCCGTTGCCACCACGTTTTCAACAAGTCCCAATTCAGAACACGTTCCCGTGCATTGTAGCTTTTACAAGTGGGTAGGGCTGCTGAAGCAGAGATCAAATGAGTTGGCCCATCCCTATCGCCTGGAAAGTGCATAAGATAACATCTCCCGTGGGTTGGAACTGCCGTTGAATGCTCAAACACAAAGTAATCCACCCGTATTGGAACGAGCATGAAACAACGCGGGGAGGGGAGGGGGTGATCGCTTGAGTAGTAATAATGAACTTGGATTTTAAGGGTAGTCGCGAATGCTGGTGCGCTTGTTATCTCGGCGAGTATCAGTGCGGTTTAACGCAAAGGGATCTGACTGTGTGAAAAGAGCACTTCTCCCTGGAGCGGACGTATTTGCTCACTCTAGCGTTTTGTAGGAGTTCTGCGATACTTATAACATTACAATTTTTTGCTATCCCGTTCATTACACTGCATTCAACGTGCCGTCTTGTTGCCAAAACTAATCAACTAATCGCAAAAGTTACCAGCCTTCGAACTCGCGGCGTGGTGCAAAACAGAAGCGCGTGACGAGTCGACCTCCGAAGATCCATCGTCACCGTGGTCTTGTAGAGTTTCCATCAGCGCCTAATCTGACATCTCCTCGGTGGTGACAACACGGTTCTCCAAAATTACAAAAAAATCAGTTTCGCCAGAAGGGCAAAGCAATGAATGGGATAGCAACAACTTGGAATGTAACGCTGAGAACGGCAAACAGATCGAAACGTGCAGCGCACTACTCATGCACAAATGACGCACGAAAACAACATACACAGGACGACAGCAAACAGCATTTACCGCAAAACACTTAACGCGCTGTTTGAACAAAAATGAGGCACGAAATGTAATCACAGGTACAGATATGAGTGCGAACAAGTCCCCCGGCTGTTACTTCGCTGTGTTTTAAAAACGCACTTTTTTTCACAAATGGCGCCTGTCCAGCGAGTGAAGTGATCTTTGAGCGCCCGGTAACTAAACGCAATTGTTCTGGTCAAAGTCGAAGGCCCGCGATTCTTCCCACCGGAGGATAAGCGCGCGTGAACGAGCATCTACCCCACCCCCTCTTTCGTGGGCAAAGTACTCATGGGAGATTAGGGCGTCGGCGCATCATGATGTGCTGGGCGCTGAGCGCGGGTGGCTTCTTTTTTTTTTTCTTTTTTGAGCCCCGCCACGGTGGTCTAGTGGCTAAGGTACTCGGCTACTGACCCGCAGGTCGCGGGATCAAATCCCGGCTGCGGTGGCTGCATTTTCGATGGAGGCGAAAATGCTGTAGGCCCGTGTGCTCAGATTCGGGTGCACGTTAAAGAACCCTAGGTTGTCGAAATT